CGCTGTCCACCGCGCCGCCATGCCTGCGCACCAGACCACAACGCCCAAGAAGGCGAGGAGGCCTGTTCTTTCCATGACTTCGAACCTCGACCCATATGGAGGAGGCGAGCCCGCAGTGCCGGATTGGTAGCGTGATGTGCCACCAAAAGAGATCTCTGCAGCTTACTTGGCCGCCGACCAGTTTGAAGGGCCCTTCGACCCAAAGAGCGCTGGCGTCGCTGCTTTCGGTGCCACGACGGCGATGGCGGTATCGCGAACAGTGGTCGTTGCCACGTTCTGGGGCCGTTTCTTCCCGCTGGCTACGGGCAATTCGGGCCCTATATATATATATATACATACATATACACACACACACACACCTCAGCAACCTCCTCCAATTTTTCAGATCCGTTCACCGGCTTGATGTAGATTTCAGGTGTTGGGCCTAGGGCTCGAGTTCATTGGTGCATGGGTCGCAGGGTACCTACTTGGAGATTTCAGTGTATTTAGCAACTAGGCTTTAAGTATAGGGTTTAGGTAGCGTAAACCAGTGAAGGTATATAGTACAATGTAGTCAACGTTGATGATTTACACTTGTAGTTTAATTCTGGCACGCCCTGTGTCTAAAGGAGGTATGGGGCAGGTCGCCAGCAACATTTGCGGTGGCGACGGCCGCCCCGCCTCTTGGCTGTTCATAAGTTATATTCGCAAACTAGCGGTACAGTATCAGCCCGATCGCAACCTTCAATGCTTGATCCCAACAGCTTCGATAGATCTCCACAAACTCAGCCAATTTGCCAGAATCCGAGGTCATCAAGAATGACGTGACGTTATCTGTAAAGACAGTTCCTACCGAGCCCATTGCTGGGCAGGCCCGGGCCAATGAGGGGTTTGCAGATTCTCTGAATCACGAGGGATTAAGGGATGATCGCACAGAGCCACTTGAAAGCCTAAACCTCGGACAACGGACTCCTCCATCAAATGCAGTTTGACTTCAAGCCGTTGCGGACTCCTTTATGTCTGCTACGCATAAGGGCAGGCTGCATCAATGGGGCGAGATAGCCGGCATGGAAGTAACTCAGCGACTTTTACTGGCTACATCATGTACAAAGGCAAACAGGATGTGACGATAATGAGTCTGATCATGCTAGACGCAGCATAATCACAGAAGTGCAAATACGTCCTCTGTTGCTACCCATGGCAGCGGAAGGTCAACAAACTAGTCGCAACGGTAATGATAGGAGGTCTTGGCGGTGCATCGTCGACTTGATCGAGACAAGCTTTCAACAATTGCGCAGTGTATCATAAGGTTAGTTCTCGCTGTTTGTGCCACATCTAGCAGCCAGGCACCTGGAACCAGTGGCTTGCGGAAGAAGACGAAGGTCTTCATGGAGGGCAACTACCTCGCCAACTATGTGCAAAGTGCTCCTTGACTGGGCGCTCTTTCAATCAAACTTAGGTTTTTCTTGTGCAAGAGGGTCTCCTTACTAAGGCAGGGTATTCGGAAAAAGGATGCCCTCGCGGGCATCGAGATCCCGAAGCAATATTCTCAGAAGTCCCGAACTGCTGGAGTAGAACCACTTTCGAAAAGCCACAGAGGCCCAGGAGGATGAGCCAGAAGACTCATAAGCTGCAGTGGGATCTCCCCTGCCCACGCCCACAAAGGGCTCTTAGAAGGGTCATGAAGGGTTTCGTAAGGGGAAAACGTGACGGTTACTAGTAGGGTTTTCGGAAACCGTCATGTTTCGGAAGAGCCGTTGACGGGGTTTAGGTTGTGCCGGAGTCTCCTGCAACCCGAAAATCGAAACCCCGAATGAGTTTCGAGCTCATAGGGTTTCGGGAACCGGGCTTAGTCTTTTAACCCATGCAGTCCATCCAACCGTCCATGCATCCGTCTATGTATTCTCCTTCCCGCCACACACATACAGAGCCAGGGACATGGCTAGGCTGTAGGATCTAGGCCTAGCCTTAGGGGTGAAAAGCCGCATTTAGACTTTGAAAAGCTACGACCCCTGTTCAGATCTTTAACACCCTCTGAACCAAAAGCTCTAAACCCTAAGCCCCCAAGCCCCTATACCCTAAATCCCCCTGCTCAGGTTTTCAACACCCTCATTGAGGAGAATGTGCCAGTGCAAGGAGGGACCTTGGTGGTCTCCGGAGATGGGCGCTACTGGAACCCCGAAGCTATTCAGATCATCATCAAGATGCTTGCATGAGGATTATGGGCTTGGGGAGATTCCGAGGCTTATGGGGGTTAAGGATTATATCGCGGTTTAGGGTCTTCTAGTAGTTTGAGGGTTCGTCGAAGCTGCTGCGCAACAAAAAAGGATTTGTTGGGTTACTGGGAGAGTGTTGGGTAGTATTTCTGACATGAGGGGAACTCTTCTATCAGGCTGCTCCTTAAGCGAGAGAGATAGGTGCGGTCTCAAGGTTTGCATGGACTGCTGTTTTTGGCAAGGCAGAAGCATCGCCCAACAGATCGAAGTTGAAGCACAGAGGTCACAAAAAGATCGCCTCATCAGACAACTCAACAGTTCAAGCCTTCCCTTGTAGGCTTCGGAAGTAGAATTTAACATCCTGAGCCTCCACCCAAATCACAAGCCGAATATGCATGTTCTCCTCCATTTGCCCATTTGAGGATCGCCTTTGCGAACGGCGTCGGCCGCATTTGGTGCCCGAGCCGTCACAAGCAGTTTCCTCACTATTCTCTGTGAAGCCCTCACCCAAGAAGGGCTTCTCCGGGAAAGGCTACGTAATAACTGCAAGAATGCCAAGTAGCAACTATAACCCTAAACCCCCAAACCCTATAAACCCTAAACCACATCACTATAACCCTAAACCCCCAAACCCTATAAACCCTAAACCACATATGTTCGTCAGAGCCATAACCTAAACAATCCTCCTCAAGCTCGGGACTCCCGGCCGGCTCAGGCCCCAAATCACCCGTAACAGGGAGTAGCATAGTACTGTTGATGGACAATTCTGCATGACCCAAATATAGTATAGTACCATAAATCCCATAGTTTAGGTATATAAGGTCATGCAGGATTTTGTCCATCAACAGTATGGTCAGGGTTCCGGCAACTATGTATGCCTATGGATGGGGAGGCTCAGGAACTTGTAGCCAATGGCATAATGGGTAATAACGGGTAGTAGTAGTAGTCGTTGAGAACTCTCAAGATGTCCCCGTCAATCACCCATGAAAAATCACACCTCTTTGCCATTTTCAGGTGCGGTACCGACGGTATGCTCTCCACGCCTGCGACTTCCGCAGTGTCTTGCATGGAGATCAGGAACCGGACACAGGGACTTTCCCATCGGCCCCACGTAGTTCCTTTTTGGGATTACCTAATAGGATCCTAAGTACGAACCACAAAAAGGAACGACTACATGAGCCAGAAGTCGGTGCTTTGAGAAGTGGATATAGGGAGGTGTCAATCCTGGTGCTTGCTAGTCTTCTACCACTAGTTTGATTATGATGGAATCTGTTGCTCACTCTGACGACTCATGTTTAGAGAGCCGCATTCGTCTCAGCCGCTGTCTCCTATCTCTATTGCGCGCAAGTCGCAAAAAAGCGTGTGGATGGCATTGCTGCGCAGATTGACATCGACTGCTGAGTTCTTGGACACATGCAGGCAGTTAGTATCAAAGCGTTAAACTGAACATCACTGATTCATCTCAGTCTCGTGGAAACCAAAGCACCCCAGAATGATGAAGGGACACCCCTACCAGACTGGCGACCCGACAGGCCCCGCTGCAGTCCCGCCTGCACCCAGAATCCCCAGCTTAATATAGGGGCCTTTATAATTGCCTATATTATTTTGGGGGCTCATTATTCAATTATAGTTTAATATACCCCAACACCGTATTCTTATTCTTAAGGCCCCTATATTACCAAGTACTCGCAACTCAGAAGCTCCGACAGATTGAGTCGGAACGAATCGTAACTTCATGAGTGCTTTGGTGCTGCAGGTCCTAATTACTGTACACAGGGAATCCTCGAGAAGAAGACGACTATCCTTCGGGTGTTGGGCTCGTGTAAAGTCCAATAAGAAAGACGTACTCAGGCAGGCAGATGCAAATGCGCGATACACCAGCTTTCAGTGGCACCCCAGACCTTCCAATATCCCTTCATTGAGGAATGACTCATTCTGATTGGGGATCATACTATAACTTTGAGGAACAGTTCCATAGTTCAGATATCGAAAGGTCTGGGATACGAAACTCAGGTGATCCGAGGGCGCGGCTACGGCTTTGAGCCGTTTGGTGGGTTTATCTGCTCGGCCAGCCACAACCCAGGTGTGGGATTCGTGTCTTCGCGTAGGGTTTGGCATTCAGAGGTGGGAGTCTTCTAGGTTTTGGAGTTTAGGGGATTGACTGTTCAGCTTAACACCTGGGAGTTTAGGTGCTTAGGTTCTACAGCCTTGCGTAAAGTCTGTGGCAGGTGCAGCTTGTGGGAGTTTTGTGAGAAGGGCGGGAGTGAGACGAGCTGATCCAGGAATGAGGGTGTACTTAGACCTTGGTATGGAGCTTCGTTCCCCTCTTATTGGCGGGCCCGAACCATCGAACAGAAAGAACACTAGAAATTAGGATCCAGCTCTTTGTCTTCAGCGGGCAGCTATAGGACTGATAATAATACGGCTTTGACTTGGACCTGAAAAGAGGTCTGCTGTGGACTTATATAGTGTTGAGGTGTCAGCCTGGCGGAATGGTGGGTTTGTTGTGGTCATTGAAGTTTACACTGCAGAGGCCTCGATTTTGGGGAGTGTTTTCCTTCAGGATCTCCACAGCACTAGCATTCTATAGCCAGTAACATGTGCAGCGAAAAGCGATCCCAACTCTCTTGTCGCCTTTGTTGGTCACTTCGGATGTGGGGGTTGTGGCGGCATTCGCATGGTGTAGGGCCATGGCTCCCTGCGAGGTGGCCTGAACAATGATTTTGGCATCAAGTACAACTGCGAGAACGGTGGACCAGCCCCAGAGAAGCTCACAAACAAGATGTTGGAGTGGACTGGGAAGAGCCTCGGAAGCTTAGTCCACTGTATCCATTAAGTGGGTATTCAGCAAACTATCGTTCAATGAGTATTCTGTGTATACGAGAGGCTGCTTGGGCGTTCTAGGTAGAGCTTGTAGAATCTAGGGCTCAGAAATAATCTTCGATTGGTGGTGTCGATGCAGCTCAGCAACAGGTGCACAAGTCCGATAATATTGATATGCCAAGAACACGGGGGGACTGTGGCTGTAGAGCCACCGCTGCACATGTGCAGCTCCCCTTCTACTTATGTTGCCCCAGCCTATACTCGTGCAGACATCGCCCGGTGCTTTTGAGGATCAAAGAGTACAAGAGCGTGGACGGCCTTCCCACGCTCGACTTGCACCTTGTCTGAGCAGAGAGTGGTGTGGGGTATGAGCTCTACCAAGCTGTAAGCCTACTTGTCACAAGAGTCAGCGAAACACAACCGACAGGATCATGGTTCGAGGGCCTAAGTTTACTCTCGAAAGTGAGACTGTCAGGACGAAGCCCGCAATCTACAAGCTTGCGGACAAGGTGGTGGAGGTCTTTGACTGCGTCGAGGCGCTGACATCTTGGATGCTCCGTGTAGCCTTCCCTTCCTTGATGCAGACCTGTTCCCATACCGACGGCTTGCGGAGGTAGGTCCCAACCCCTCTGAACTCTGAACCCTCGAACATTACAGCACATCCCGAACCCTAATTTTTGCCTGAGAGCTGTAAGGCTGTCGGTTCGGAGCCGATGTCTTGGGCGGTCCAAGCCTGCAGGTGATGATACCAAAAAATCCATGAACCCAAAGGGTCCAAGTACCAATAGAGTAGGCTCTTGGTAGAATTTTGGGGCCGCAGAGGATGCCTTAAAGGGCCTTAATACGTATGTACGAATTATACTTTTACATTGAGGGTTCCCAACAAATTGGGGACACAAATATAGAACCCCAAATAGTAGGATCCTTGTTATTATTTGGACCCCAAAATGCGGTACCCCTAATTTGCGGAAACTCCTACAATTAAGGACCGACCCTTGCGGGAGCCTTGTTTTCTGCGCCACACGCCCTAAGGCTCCACGTACCCATATAGTACATACTCAGGCCTTAAAGTACCCTATATAGGGACCCCTTTAAGGCCTAAGTATCTACTATAAAGGTACATGGAGCCTTTGGGACGGTGGCCAGGACCACCTGAAGCTCCTGAAGCAGTGCTTCGACTTCGCATCCATCAAGCGGCGGCTCGGCGGTGTTGGGTTTCAGAGACACCTTAATTCTTAAACCCTAAGTAAGCCGCGTTTTTTAGTTTTTCCTTATAATTATAAACCCAAATTAAGCCGTGATTATATAGGGCTTGTAATCGGTTTGAAGCAAGGGCGCTTGAAGGAAACCTTGGAGCCCCAATCTCTCACCTCCCCAACAGAAGAAGACCCCTAGAGCCGCAAAGGCCCAAGCCCTAAAAGATTGTAAAGGTCCAGGATGTTTCCAGGCTTCCCTAAACCCTAAACCCTAAACTCCTAAATTCCTAAACTCTAAACCTAAAGCCCTAAACTCTAAACCCCGAAACCCCGAAACTCTTAACCCTAAGCCCCGCAACCCTTAAACTCTAAACCCTAAGCCCCGAAACCCCTAAACTCTAAACCCTAAAGGATCCCTGAGTGCTAGGGGCTGAAGGGCTGGAAGGCTCAGTTGAAGCATTGGGGCTTCAAGATGGTTGCGCTTAGGCTGTAGTCTCCATTGTAGTTCCTTTTCGGGGATACCATATAGAGTCCTTAAAATATATAACTGGTTAAACCAAAAAAGGGAACTACAATGGAGACTAAAGGTAGGGTGGCTTTGGGATATGAAGGCGGCCAGACGGGTATGGGAATAGATGCGTGACAGACCGGAAGACTCGCGAGTTTTGTTTGGTACGAACGAACCCTTTACTTGATGCCCTGGCCCTGGCTGCCTGGGTCGCTTCCCATGTACCTGGGCAGGAGAGAAGCAGAGAGCCGTCAATTCAGAACTGAAGCCAAGAGAAGAGCGATGCGCCTCACTAGAGTGGACCTTTGCGTCTCTGATGCACATCAAAGCCCCCCCTAGAAGCCGAACCGAGCTTCCTCTCGCAAACAAAACTCATACCAGACATTCAGCCGCTGAAACCTCAACCCCAAATCGCAGCAAATCCTAGGCCCTATAGACCCAGTAAAAAGTTCTGAACCTAAGCCATTTACACAGGGCTCGAAACCTCGGATGCCGACGGCAAGCTCAGGCTCATGACCCGGCCGGACTTCACCATTGTCTACGACTCCATGTCTGGAGTCACGCGGATGAACTACCTATAGTCTCCATTGTATTTCCTTTTTTGGTTTAACCAATTGTATATATTAAGGATTTTATAAGGTATCCCCAAAAAGGAACTACAATGGAGACTATAGGTAGAACAGGGCTTTTCGGACAGATCTTATTGTGCTTGTTCGACCATGATGGGATACTGTTCGTGCTACGAGCGAGAGTTCTGACAGGCCGTCGCGACGGCGAAAGCGGCGTTGTTGCGAAGCAAGCAGTAATTAGCGCTTGTAGCCAACAGTGGGGGTATACTGTGATGACCACGGACATCATGACCATGCAGTATAACAGCGGAAACAACCAAGCTGGCAGCTGCAGAATCGGAAGCACCAATTGCAGCAGTACATGTTTTGAGTCTTCCAGAACCCATTGAACTTGATTGCATGCAACTTTGCACCCTTTCATCAGGTTTCGTAAACCACTTCTCACACCCGTATACAAGTTTACAAGACACATGGACCTTCTTTTATGGCAGAAGCCCTCACCTGTACGAATAAACCCCAAGCATGGGCAAGATCGTCAGCAGTCTAATTATACGCCTCCAGCAGCTGCAGATTCTATGTTCGAGGGCATTCGGCCGAGAGGCCTTATGCATCCAAAGAATCCGATTTTTTGGCAAGTGGTAGTTTTTTGACGTGCCAAAAGCTCTTCAACACAAATCCGGAGAAATCCGGAGCTGGGGTTGAGGGGCTTGGGTTCTGGAGCGCACTCCGAAGGTTCAGGGCCCCTATGCCAAGCGCATCATCGAGGAGGACCTGGAAAAAACCCACTAAGCAATTTTCACTTTCATTAAGCATGAAACCCTAAACCCAAAGGCCCCATAGTAGTTCCTTTTTCGGGCTCATCTTTAGAATCCTATAAGGTAATCCCAAAAAGGAACTACTATGCGGCCTATGGGTAATGCATGGAGGTCAAAGCCCCCATGGGCCTCGGGTTGAGCTTCGCAGGAGCTGGGAGCTCCCCCAGGCAGCTGCACGAATGCAGTGCCGAAGCTCGGAGGCATGGCCCACTGTCACTTTCCACGCCCTGGAGGACGATCCCCCAAGACCTGGGTTCTTGTTAAGGACTCGGTTTACGTTGCTGTAACATGATATAATGAAGCCACCTTGTTTGCTACACATCCCCGTTATGGCAACTTAGGCTAGATTCCCCAGAAACCGAGCTCGGCCGAGGAAGCCCGACTTCGGTGGTCCGGAATCTGCTTGGCACGGCCACGCCGATCCGAGCCTCGACCTGGTCAGAAATGGGAGTTTCCGAAAATAAGGGGTACCTTGATTTTGGGTCCTTATAATAAGGATCCTACTATTTGGGGTATTAGGGTCCCCTATGTTCAGAAACTCCCCAGATCTGTGACGAGAGTCGGGGAAGAATGGCTTTCGGTGGCGACACTGTGGCTGTCAATGAGCATAACAAAAGGGTTTAGGGTTTAGGGTTTAGGCACGAGTCCACAGCACAGTCGGCACCTCCGTTCCTGGCAATAACGTAGTCCAGGTGTAAAAAGGGTTTAGGGTTTAGGGATGATGTACCAGGCGTCGTTCTTGCAAGCCTGCAGCAAAAGGGATGATGATGACGATGAACCTGACGATGCTGATGATCTCATTCCCCCAGCTCTAGTCTCAATCCGTGTCGTTATCAACTTGTTGAGGCTCTTGCTTTGGGTCCCATGTAAGAGCCGCAATAATTCTCCGCGTCAATTTATGGCAACCTTGATATTGTTGTCTAATTCACCACGCCTCCCCATTTTAGTTCTGTACGAGCACTTCGGCTGCACGACAGCTGCACGAGGAACTTGACCTACGCTGTTGAGCTTGTGGCCACGATGGGCCTCAACAAGGACTGAAGCGGGTGTTCTGAACGTGCACCCGATCAGAAAAAGACGTTGATGTACTGTCCGAAGCCTCTAGCCCTTCTTGCGCTCTCAACCATGCATCCGTAGCTCGAAATCCAAAACCGTAGGGAGCTGTACTGCAACATACCCCAAAAGCCTATTCTAACCGTTTCTAACCATTATTATAAGGCCCTTATCCTGGCCCCTAACATCAGGAGGGTTTAGGGTTTATAGGGTTTAGGGCACCCTAAACCCATTCTGATTGTTGAGGCTCTTATCTTGGCCCCTAAGATCAGGAGGGCCAAAAGATCTCCAGCTCCAAGCCCATCCCATCCTTCGGCGCCGCAGCGGACGGCGACGCCGACCGAAACATGATCCTCAGCAGCCAGCCACCTGCCTCAGGGAATTGGAATAGTAGTTCCATCGGTATCATCCAAAACCAGTCTGTGTATTGTGTATAGGGTTTTGGGCGTTCGGCGTTTTGGGTTTGCGGTTCGGAGAATGACTTTTTTTCCACTGGACTCTGCGGATTCGTTGGGAATCTGATGGGCTTGAGTGGGGATGTTGTTTTGCTGCAGTGTTATGGCAAATCTCAAGACAGTTGTTATGATGGATCAGAAACATGATTCAAAGGAATTGTTGCCGGCAGCGCCCACCACCAATGAGTCTTCCCCCACTTTCATACCAAAAGGGCCCTTCGATCCCGCACTGAGCTCCCGAACACCCTACACGCTATCTCTTGCCTTCAATTCTAAAACCACCCAACCTCATCACAGCCGTATAAAATCCCAATCCTAGCATATCCTAGCCAAGCTCCCGAACACCCTAACTACGCCCTATACCTCTTGCTTTCAACTATATAGGTTCTGGATTTCTAGAACCACCCAACCTCGTCACAGCCGTATAAAATCCTTGTCCTAGCGAGGTTCTTCATCTCTCCCTCCGATTCCTTGGCCATGATCGTCGACAACGCTGATCTCATCCCTCAGTTCCGCGTTCCGCGGCTGCAAAAGAAACGTTCTTGGGCCTGGGGGCTCCGGGGTGAGTGTCTTTGGACGAAAACTTGGGGGCGGAATACTCCCATAGACTCCATATATAGTATATACTTCTACGAGAATGCAAGGTACCCCGAAACCCTATTCTCACTATTCAGGGTCCTATACTCAACCACAATCTTTTTAGTGACATGCACTCCGAGGCTCGTCCCGAGATGATTGAGCCTAGCATCCACGAGACCCCAAGCAAACTTTGGTGAATTTAGGGTTTTGTAAGGGTCCATGTACTCAAATATTAGATACTTTGGCCTTGAAGTAGTCCCTATTTGGGTACTTTGGGGCCAAAGTATCTACTATTTGGGTACATGGACAATGAGCGGGTGTAGGGTTTGGTGTTCAGGCTGGGCTGAAGGGCTGCGCGCGGTCGATGCCTACTAGTGGTGCCCTGGACTTGGTGGCCAAGGCCGGACACGGCAAAGACGGGCTCATACGGTTTTATGAGGGGTAAATAGGATGTGCATTAACAGACCGTTTTCGAGTATCAAGGTTTTACATGGTGTATACGACGTGCTTGTACGGTTGGATTTCCGGAATTCTGGGGTTCAAAATAATTGTGTTTGCTTAATTGGTTTGGGCTTTGAGGTTTACTATGCGGGCCTTGATAATAGCCACCGATGTTGTTTCTGCAGGCTCTGCCCTTTGCCCGAGGCATTTTCGCAAGACTCCTTGATCCCTGCTTCAGCCCCTCCCACAACGCTGCACCTTCGATTCGCTACAGTCCGTCAAGTACGGGCTGCCGACATCTGGTGAAATATAGAAGCCTCAATAGTTACCTACATTATTCTGGAGTTCCTTATTATGATTATAGTATACTGGGCCCCAAAACCCTATTCTAATTGTTCAGGCCCCTACATTAACTTGTTTTCTGAGCTTTTCATGCCCGGGACCTGAAACCGACATCCTGGAGCCTCTTCAGTGGATGGCTCTTAGCATGAGGCCAAAGGCATCGAGTGCTTCGAAGTGCCGACAGGCCGGGGCCGTTGCTTCCGCATTTGGAAGCCTTGTATATAAGCCTTACTTCAAGCGTTTCGGGCCTTACATTGGGCTTATAGGGCTGCGAGTCACGGTATGGGGACACCGCAGCAATGTCTGTTCCAAGGAGAGGATACAAAGCCTGAAGCCCTCAACTCTAGCGACCTCGTGCAGCATAGGCGTCCCGATAAAGCACTGTGGATTTCGCGATGGATGTTGTGGGTCCGGGATCAGTGGGGGGCGGGGGGCGGCTTCTCATCTCAGTCAATCTTTAGGCTTCTTGGGCACGTCCTTCCTTGTATGTTAGACACAAAGGAGGCGCTACCGAATAAATGTCGCCTGCGTCCTCATACTTGCAAGAGAACATTTCGAGTTTTGCAAACCCTGTAAAGCTCTAAACCCTAAATTAACCTTAAACCCTAAATACGCAGGATGGAAGTTCTTTGGGAATCTGATGGACAGTGGCACCCAGTATTTCCCCGACAAGCCCCTCGGCCGGTGCAGCAAGCTTGGTCCTTAAGGGTTCAGGGGATTGGGAACTTGAGTTCAGTGCTTGGGCTTTTAGGATCGGCTTAGGGTTTAGGGCCACCGAGCATCTTGCCGGCATGCAATCCAAGCCCGTGCTCAAAAGGGTTTAGGGTTTGGAGGGTTTCCGGGTTTTGAGTTCGGAATCCAGGACCTTTGGCTTTGGGCTTTACTGTAGGAGCCTAAATAATTACCAACACTATTTTTTTGGGGGGTTCCTTAGTAGAACTACAGTATAATGGTCCCCAAAACCCTATTCTAACTATTATAAGGCCCCTATATTGATTTCTTTTGATTGTGTGTTTCGGGGTTGATGGTTTACGGTTTTCCCATACGGAAGCCCGTGCTTTGGTTCTGAGAAGAGCATGTCTTACTGCTGTCGCTAAACTGTTCTTTCCTCACCGTACTTCATTCATGGCAGAAGCGGGCACATGACACAAACTAAACGGAGGTCAGTGATTACCTCAAAGGATGATGGCTAGATACCAGTAGACGCTTGGACACCTGCTATGTAGAGCCTTCGAGAGCTGCCACGCGGGAGCCAACAAAAGCGGAGGTCAGTGCTTTCCGGCTTTCCGTGCCCTTCTCGACTATTGGCTCAGGCAGACTTACACACCCTTTATCTGTGGTGAAGAGTCCTTTGGCACCGGCGCTGACCACGTGCGAGAGAAGGCTGGGTGAGTGCAGGGGCAAGCAGCGCAGACAGGTATCACAAGCGCCCCAAAATCTTAAACCGCGGAGCCTTGCCGGCTTTGTGCGAGTGTGAGTTGTCGAAACCCGATAGACCTCGCCAGGATTGTCCGAGTTCTGAGAGTGAGGGAACCCTAAGCCTCAAGCTCTTCGAATGCCAGGCCGAAAGCCCCTTCAAACTTTAAGTTCAACGTCTTAACTTTAACGACTCCGTAAAACCCAAAGTGTAAGGTAGAGCATTTGAGTTTTAGTGCCGGGTTAGGGCCTATAGGGCTTTAGAAAGGGTCTAGGATGCTCACTACAAATGTCAAAGAGCGCCCTGACAACAAAAACGGAACCCTGAACTCCACGCACAGCCAAGCAAGGGATGCAGTTTTCGCAAGGCCCCAGGCTCTGATTCCAGGTTGTGCATCAAGCCTCTCAAAAGCCCTAACCCTCCAGGTACCTACTATATAGGGCCCCAGGGGTTCTGGTACCCCATATAGTAGGTACCTGGGGGGCTAGGGAAGGTTTAGGGTAAGGGTTCAAAGCCGAAACATGGCCAGAAACCCAGCCACTGTCCTCAGCCGTTCATTCCGGCATGGAAAAGAGCCTTGCATAGAAAGGAGCCTGCACACGCAAACACAGAAAGTTGTACATTCCAGGATGGAATGTGGGCCGTCCTTGCCTGGCTTCAGATCCTGGCGAAGAAGACCGAGCAGGTGTGAATTGTTTTCCTATAGCTTAGGAGTGAGGCTTCTTGGCCGAAGGGTCTAGGAACACGGTTATTTGGGATTGGGGTAGCTGTCCGCATCGTGGCTTGGGGGTTCCGGTGGTTGAATTTGGAGGGATTGCAAGGCGTTGGGGTCAGGGAGAGAGCTATGTTGCGTTCGAGCTCACATGGTTCGTGCACGAGCGAAATGCTACAATCAACCCAGTTGTGGCTGCAGGCCGGCAAGCTCGTGTCCGTGGAGGACGTAGCCAACGAGCATTGGAAGTGTCTCGACCTACATCCTAGACTGCTGCAAGCTGAAACTCTCGTCTTTCAGCAAAGCTCACAGCGGTGTTAACGAAACCTTGAATGAGCCGCGAAGAGCAGCTCCCCGAAGCTTCGACCCCAACATCCTCGACTTTTCAACCCTGAGCCGTGAGCCCTGACCTATGCCTTCATCCCAAAACTCGCGCCAAGAGCACGAAGTCCAAGCTCCTGCCTACCTAAACCCTAAGCCCTAAACCCTAAGCCCTGATACTCCTCAACATCCGAGTCCTCGTCCGAGGACCTACGGTCGAAACTACTACGCTCGCTATGACTACGAAGGCTCAGGGCAAACCTTGAAAAGAAGGGCGGATGGATTTCGAGCTCAGAACTAAATCGAGAAGAGACATATTCGTTACTTATAGCAAAATAGCATGTAAGCACAGCCTTTATGTACGATGCTTCCGGCAGGCGTTGACAAGGCCAAAGCCGAGCAGATGATGAAAATGATGTCCGACAAGTCAGGCATCAACATGTCCGGTCGGGCATTCTGAAGCAGTTTCTCCAATTTCATCTCTTTCACTTACATGATCTTTGGGCTCAGTGAGCCAGAAGAGACACCTGATATTCAGGAGAAAGAATGGCTACGGGAGGTAGTTCCTGGTTGCCTGTAATGCAAGTGGATTCGGCTGTGGGGATGCTCAAGAGTACCTCTAACAGGACGCACTCCGCATGCCGTATTCAACCCCAGTCAGTGAAGCTAAACCCTAAACCCTAAACCCTAAACCCAACTATGGTGGGGGCACTGACACCAGGGAAGCTCGTCGGGCAGACCTTTGGCAACATGAAGATCAAGATCAACGACGCCCCTGACCCAGTGTTGGTTTGGGGTGTCCGGGAATTCTAAACTTGTAATGTAAGAAGTTTGTCAAGTCTTGATACTACATCGTTGATGAGCATGGTGCCTGCGGTGGAGATTCTGTCTGGGGTGCTGATGGCGTCGGCGATGACGACGATCAAGATGATGATGATGATGAAGATGATGATGATGATGATGCTGATGATGATGATGATGATGATGATGATGATAATGGTGACTGTGGTGTGATGATGGTGATGACGCGGTGATGATATTGTTGATGGTGATGCTGCGGGTGATGAATACAACGATGACAATGATCGCGAACATGGTTTTAGTGGATCCGTTTTCTGATATGCACAAACGTTGCCATTGCGCTGGTCGTTATCATTATCATCATTAGACTGTCATTTTCGTTCTGGTTTTTGCAGCTGTTGTGTTTGCAATATTGCCATATTCAACCGCTTGGGATCAGTGGTCTTATTGCCACCATACATCCTTCGAGGGTTCGTTAGTTCAAGGGCTTACGTGGTTGAATGGTCTAGGGTTCGAGGGCCTACGGGCTTCGGTTCCAGGGACCAAGATCTAGGCCTTCCGAGTCGGAAACGGCCCTCTTGCGGTTCAAGGCCGAAGGTTTTGAATTCCGCGATTTCGGCCTCAGAGCTTCGAGGTTTTTCGGGACTTAGCGAGTAGGTTCTATAATTTTTACAGTCATAAGGTTTAGATAAGCTCTTATACAGGCTCATGCCAAAGCACGTTCCTACAGTCCATGGTCTTTCTTTCAAATTTATGCTTAAGCAGCTACCCTAATCCCAGCGACTGGCGGAGCCCTTTGACCTTTCAACCCTCTTTCGGTGCTGATCGGGTTCAGGGTTTACGGGTTTAGGGGTTTAGGGCCCGGCAGTCGCAATAGGCCTGGATGCAAAAGGGTTTAGGGTTATCATGTTGTTTATTTCAAGAACCCTGTGAAGCGTGAAGCTAAGACAACTATGAATGGGAACCATGGCCAGTCTTTCCGGTTCAATACCTGAAACAAGAAACTCATTCTCAACCGAAAATCAATCCCTCAACTAATCACAACTAACCTTCCTGAAACAACAAGTTCAGTTTCAAACCTATATACATCCTCAAATTAAAAAGTCACAGGTCTTCGAATACAATGACCCGGTGGACGGCAGCGTGTCCAAGAACCAAGGCTCCAGTGTTCTAAACTCTTGTCGGCTATATCGAGTACGGGGCATTAAAGTCGGCTGTATCGAGTGCGCTTTAAAGGCTACAGCTTGAGGCTGTATTGCCTGTAAGTGTATAAGTATCGGGACTGTGGGTTTGCTAGCTGGAGACTATATAGCATGCACTTCGACAGCCAAGCGATGAGCCTGCGATCAATGCAGGTGTAGGTTTCATGGGTTTCTAGCTACTGTTATCAGCGTTCGGGTGACCTGGGCTCGAGATTCCCACGAAGCCACAGCAGTCGTGTTCAACAACAAGTACCCCTAACCCCCGAGGTGCCTACTAAAAAGGGTACTAGAGGCCCTAGGGCCCTATACAGTAGGTACCTGGAGGGTTAGGGTTCCGCAAGCGTTGCGACGATTGTGCAACCTTTCGCGCAGACGGACGGAGCCCAGGATCATCTCCACGCAGTCACAAAGGAGTCTAATATCTGCATGCACCAAGAAGCTTGTTATATTATATATATATACACATAGAATAAGCAATTACAGTAATAAACAGAATGTTCATGATAATTATACTGCGTAGTAAGAATCATAACATGTGGTTGTATAGGTGCGCCGTTTCCGAGGGAACTTGCATCACATATCATAACTTTGCGCCTCATCAAACCCATATGAGATAGCTGTCAGATCGACAGTCTCGCAGGCGTCCGAATCATCTTCGAGGACGGCTCCCGGATCATCTTCCGACTTTCGGGCACCGGGGTGGCGGGTGCCACCGTTCGCCTCTACCTAGAGAAGTACACCCCTCCAACAGGCGCCTGGTCCAGGGAGGACGGAGCACGACAATGCCAAAGTCCACATCAGCATGGCATTGCCGTTTCTGTTGTCGAGAGTCATGTTGTGGATGATGCCGACTGGGCAGCCTTATGAACCATAGACCCGATCACACCCCAAACCTTGCGGTACGTCCACAGCCCAAGACGCTTCTGTGAGAGGCAACCTCGGAATGCATCAGTTCGACGTGGTGAAGCCACTCGCGGACGTGGCCTTGCAGCTTTCGAGCCTGAAATCCTACACTGGGCGGGACAAACCCAGCGTGATCACCTAGGGGCCGTCTGACCTTTTGGCTTTTGGATTTATGGATTTGGGTTTACGTTTCCTGAAACTTCAAGCAGATTAGCCAGCCAGCCAGGCAAAATGAACCCTGGAGCATACGAAGTTGCCACACTTTCACTCAGGGCGCAGGGGTATGAGGTCCCATCAACAACAACGGCGACTTAGTCCTGCCCCCACTTCACATGGAGCTGTTTATGGGTTCTGCGGCCCTGCGGTGAGATTGTTTTGCATCGATTCCTAGGCTTTTGCGCGCGGCGCAGCCAGCCGATTTAAGTTTTGCAAGCTTTGTAGAGGACCTTTAATCTTGTGGCTGATTTTCCCCAATTCAGTAGACGCATAGGATGCAGAGAGTGCGGAGGCTTCGGCAAGAAGCAAAAAAGGGGAGCTGCAGAAGTGACGGGCGATCCACAGACGCATCGAAACCCCGAAAGCTGTTAGAATCCTCCGTCGTTGGAGACCAGAAACGAATCTCTGTGCAACAGAAGTTGAACACCAGCATGGTGGCTTTGCCAGTCCCCAAAATCCAATGCTGGGACAGGTTGACATCATGCAGCAGTGCGTCAACCTGCAGTTGGATGCAGGACCATGGATGCTTGGTGTGACCTTTTGCAGTTTCCAAGATCTGGATGGCAAGTCAGCAGTGGGGAAGGTTGCCGACTTTCAGTCGCCCAAGCCGGAAAGCTTTTAAGCCCTGAACGAAACAGTTCTCAACAGCCACTCCTTTTTGGGAGGCCGTGTTCCAGCACGCACATGTGTTACCACCACCACACTTAGAAAGTCTTAACACCGCCCCTACTGTAGGGCTCACTGTTTGCAGGACATCATGCTCACGAGGCAGGGGCTGTTTGAAAAGCCCTGAACCCTATCCTTCGATGCATCTAAGCCCCGAAGGTGGGGGCCCCTAGCACTTTCGGTACGAGTTCGCGCTACAAGCATCAGCACCTGCAAGATTTTCGGAATTTGGGGATTGTCAAAGCCGATGCGGAAGGTAACAGCCCAGGAAACCTTCCAACAGGTGGTGCGTACTGTGTGCCAGGGCAATGCTGCTTACAGGGGTTTGTCATGGTGCTATACGGGGCCATCTACTTCTTCGTAAATCAATATGGCCCCTCCGCTCATGCGTAGGTTATTGTGAGTGAGTGAGTGCTCTTGGCATCTGTGGGCATTGGGACCTTGATACAGCTGGCTGTGCATGCCCGAAGCAGTGGAAATCACAAGCCTCGGGCCCCAGGCCCTAAACCTTAAACTACAGTAGATGTGCTTGCGCTTGTGGTGTAGGGATGTAGACCTTGTACGAGCTTAGGCTTAGGACTTGACGGGTTTAGGTACAGAGGGATTGCCCGTTAGGAGGTGGAGTTCAAGATTTCAGCCTACAGGATTTCAGTCTGTGTGTGTGTATACACAGTTTAATGTGTATAGATGTGTGGTGCACGGCTTCGCCGCCTTCGGAAGATTTTGCGCCTGCCATCCTGACACATGCCTGGTCAGGTGGGCGACACGGATGCATACCGGGAGGTCATCAGAGACCCTTGCTAGCAGAAGCAGCGGCAGGGCGTTGGTCTGGCGGGTCGAGGTCTAAGATGGGCTGGGGGGGCCTAGGAATTCATTGGCGGAGGTTTTTTTGTTGGGGATCATTTCATCAAGTTACTCTACCGATATTGTACCGATGATGATTGCGACCACCATTATAATCACGATGACCGTTACGAAGTATATTATTGATGTTATTGTTGTTACTAGTGTTTAGCTGTATAGCCATTTGCCAACGATTGCGATATCCTCGTACTTAAAGCCAGCTAAAGCAGTTATTCAGACCCCGATATTGGTGTGCAGTGTGGATTTTCTTGGATTGGTTCAGGCTCTTATTTCGACTGTAGTTCTTCGTAGTAAGGATACATACCGAGACCATGCATACGACATCCGACCATCGCAAGAGGCTGTTTTGGCTTGGTGAGCTTTCTGTCAGCCGTGTCTCACAACATACGTCCATGGCAGAGGCAGCTGCTCAGCAGGGAGGTGACGGCAATTCAAGCTCGACGGCAAGAGGAAACCGTAGGTCCTGATCCCCACACCCTATAGTTTAGGGTTTAGGGTTTAGGGTTATAAGTCACACCTGCTTTGTGGGAGTGCGAGTCGACGCCTTAAGCCGGACCTGCCATCTCTAACCCTGAAGCATAGTCTGTCAACGCGGAATTTCTAAATCCTTGAGGTAACAAATCCGTAAACTACCGTTGCTTTTTGTAGCTTATTATCATTTTGAGCTGTAAAGGAGTAGGTCTTGGTAGGTTAAGGTTGTACTGAATCTCTAACCCTCGACCTGACCTACCTAGTCGTTAAAACGCTGAAACTCACCCCTTAGCCCTGAACACCTGACACATGCATCCTGAATATCCCAGCCTCTAGGTCACCAAAACCAACCAAACCTCGAATTAAGGCCCTGGTGGAACTTTCCTCAAGCCTCGTGGAACAACGTGCAGAACCCCGTAAAGACTCACGAGATTTCGCTGGGAGCCTCTTCCTTCGCCGGAACCCTCCAAGACCCTAAAACCCTCAACCCTAAGAGCCCTAAAACCTAAAGCCCTTAAAGCCCTTAAAACCCTTAAAACCCTAAAACCCTAAAACCCTAAAACCCTAAACCCCTAAAACTCTAAAGCGCTAAACCCTTAAACTCCTAAACCCTCA